TGTAGGCATTTTATAATTCATTTTAATGGCCTATAACGAGGTTTTAAAATATTAATTGCGGATTCCAATAGGCGGATGTGGGTTCAAATTTTTTTGCATTCTGATCCAACTCAAAGATTTGAAATAAACAAAATATGTTACAAAAATTAAAGTTGGAAGCAAGCAAAGTTGAAGTAAATTTTCATATAACACCGCTAAACTGATTTGAGAAAGAGATCGTTGCGTGTCAAAAATTTTTAACAAAAGGTTTCATAAGAAAAATTATTAAAATCTAAGTTTTAAGCACACACAAACACACAAACAAATGCACAGACAAAAACACACAAACACACACAACTTAATAAACACACACAAACGCACACATACACACGCACGCACAAACAAACTCACACACGCGTGTATACTCATCCATGCACCGACAGGCAGCCATCAACTGGACTTATCTGCGAAGTTTAAAATATTAAGCAAACATGAGAATAAAAACGCGTCCATTTCTGGGGTCATGTGATCGAAACTTAATTTCCGGTTAGCTTATAAGCTGTGAAATGGTGTGTGTTTACATAAATTCATGCTCCGATGTTTATGATTGGTTGTGTGAATGTGTGACGTCATCAGGCAGACTCGCATAAACTTTGTTTACTCTTTCTGTTTACATAGATAAATGATCGTGGCTGATTGTAGAGTAATGCAAAAAATTATCTAGACCGTACATGTACCTTCAATATGGTCTACATGGATATGTTTTTCTTTTTTGTAAATAAACTAATTTATTAGATTTAAAAGTTATTTCAAAATCAAAGTTGCTAATCACAGTTTGTACGTTATATGGGAATGGTTGATCTTCATAAACTTCTGTTTCAGTACACATACGTTAAGCTGTTGCAGTGTTCACTGAGTATGGTGATGACAATGATGATGATGATGATGATGATAAAATGATTAAACGGATGATAGTGACTACGTTGGTGATGATGATGATGATGAAAATGATAAGTACTACGATGAAGCTGACGATGATG